TAATTAGGCGTGGATTTTTTAAACATATTTTTCATAGCATATAATTAGACGTGGATTTTTTAAACCTATTTTTGATAGCCTATAATTAGGCGTGAATTTTTTTTAAACATATTTTTTATAGCCTATAATTAGGCGTGGATTTTTTAAACATATTTTTCATAGCCTATAATTAGGCGCGGATTTTTTAAACACGTTTTTCTTTGCCTATAATTAGGCGCGGATTTTTTAAACCTATTTTTTATAGCCTATAATTAGGCGTGGATATTTTAAACCTATTTTTTATAGCCTATAATTAGGCGTGGATTTTTTTAAACATATTTTTCATAGCCTACAATTAGGCGTAGATTTTTTAACATATTTTTCATAGCCTACAATTAGGCGTGGATTTTTTTAAACATATTTTTCATAGCCTATAATTAGGCGTGGATTTTTTAAACATATTTTTCATAGCCTATAATTAGGCGTGGATTTTTAAAACATATATTTCAAGGGTCATCAATAGGCTTTTTTTTGAAAATATTTTTCAAGGGTCATCAAGAGGCGTTTTTTTTTTTTTTTTGAAAATATTCTTTCAAGCTATTTTATGCATATGTTGTACACATATTTATTTATGTACGAACATTAAACAATTATTTCATTACAAACAAAAAATCGATATAAAAAAGTAATTTCCCTCCTTCCTCCTTGTCCAAACATTCCATATCGCAATAAATGTTCACTGTTTGTTATGCAGGATATGTCATTTCCATTCTCATCCTTGGAATATTTTCATTTTGCCGAATCACAATAATAAAATGAAATAAAATAAAAAAATGGTGACAAAAAATCGCAATGACTCCGTCACGTTGAAATGCTGAATGTAAAACAAGAATGTAAAATTGTTGACAAATATGTTGACACATATTTTAACACTTGTCCAGAATTTATATATTTATTGCTATCATTTTATTTGTTTTATTTATTGCTATCAAACAAACAATAAAAAAAAGTGGACAGATAATTTATTGATTTTGTTTTTGTAGAGAAGGCGGCCATCCATCACAGATTCAATTGGTCAATGTTGTTGGTGACAACATGAAGTGAATATGGGTCACAGTGATAGGACAGGACAAGGACCATAGATGGGATATTATGATGTGATGTATAATATCCAAGGGTCATACAATTTGGAGAACCACAAATGACAGAATGTGTTAGTTAAGGTATTGAGGGCATCCCATACGTGTATTAAAAAAAAAACAAAAGAATGATCCACCAATAAACATGGATTATTGAGAGCTTCCCATAGACGTGTATTAAAAAAAAACAAAAGAATGATCCACCAATAAACATGGATTTTTGCAAAATATATATAGGACCTATACACAGGCGCGGTTACTTGAAAAATATGCTTCCAAGGGTTACCTAGAGGCGTGAATTTTTTAAAAATATTTTTTCAAGTGTCATTTTTTCAAGGGTCATCAAAAGGCGTGGATTTTTTAAAAATATTTTTTCACGGTTTACATAGAGGCATGGATTTTTTAAAAATATTTTTTCAAGGGTTACATAGAGGCGTGGATTTTTTAAAAATATTTTTTCAAGGGTTACATAGAGGCATGGATTTTTTAAAAATATTTTTTCAAGGGTTACATAGAGGCGTGGATTTTTTAAAAATATTTTTTCAAGGGTTACATAGAGGCGTGGATTTTTTAAAAATATTTTTTCAAGGGTTACATAGAGGCGTGGATTTTTTAAAAATATTTTTTCAAGGATTACATAGAGGCGTGGATTTTTTAAAAATATTTTTTCAAGGATTACATAGAGGCGTGGATTTTTTAAAAATATTTTTTTCAAGGGTTACATAGAGGCGTGGATTTTTTAAAAATATTTTTTCAAGGATTACATAGAGGCGTGGATTTTTTAAAAATATTTTTTCAAGGGTTACATAGAGGCGTGGATTTTTTAAAAATATTTTTTCAAGGGTTACATAGAGGCATGGTTTTTTTAAAAATATTTTTTCAAGTGTTACATAGAGACGTGGATTTTTTAAAAATATTTTTTCAAGGATTACATAGAGGCGTGGATTTTTTAAAAATATTTTTTCAAGGGTTACATAGAGGCGTGGATTTTTTAAAAATATTTTTTAAAGGGGTACATAGAGGCATGGTTTTTTTAAAAATATTTTTTCAAGTGTTACATCGTGGATTTTTTAAAAATATTTTTTCAAGGGTTACATAGAGGCGTGGATTTTTTAAAAATATTTTTTCAAGGGTTACATAGAGGCGTGGATTTTTTAAAAATATTTTTTCAAGGGTTACATAGAGGCGGGGTTTTTTTAAAAATATTTTTTCAATGGTTACATAGAGGCGTGGATTTCTTAAAAATAGTTTTTCAATGGTTACATAGAGGCGTGGATTTCTTAAAAATATTTTTTCAATGGTTACATAGAGGCGTGGATTTCTTAAAAATAGTTTTTCAAGGGTTACATAGAGGCGTGGATTTTTTAAAAATATTTTTTCAAGGGTTACATAGAGGCGTGGATTTTTAAAAATATTTTTCAAGGGTTACATAGAGGCGTGGATTTTTTAAAAATATTTTTTCAAGTGTTACATAGATGCGTGGATTTTTTAAAAATATTTTTTCAAGGGTTACATAGAGGCGTGGATTTTTTTAAACATATTTTTCTAAAGGTTACATAGAGGCGTGGATTTTTTAAAAATATTTTTTCAAGGGTTACATAGAGGCGTGGATTTTTTAAAAATATTTTTTTTGCGGAATATCAACTGGGGTGGATTTTTTAAAAATATGCAAGGTACTTTTTCCAATGGGTCACCACAAGGCTTGGATTTTTTTAAATATTTTTTAGGGCCATCAAAAGGCGTGGATTTTTTAAAAATATTTTTTCAAGGGTTACATAGAGGCGTGGATTTTTTAAAAATATTTTTTCAAGTGTCATTTTTTCAATGGTCACCACAAGGCTTGGATTTTTTTAAATATTTTTTAGGGCCATCAAAAGGCGTGGATTTTTTAAAAATATTTTTTCAAGGGTTACATAGAGGCGTGGATTTTTTAAAAATATTTTTTCAAGTGTACATATGGTCACCACAAGGCGTGGATTTTTTAAAAATATTTTTTAGGGCCACAAGGCGTGGATTTTTTAAAAATATTTTTTCAAGGGTTACATAGAGGCGTGGATTTTTTAAAAATATTTTTTCAAGGGTTACATAGAGGCGTGGATTTTTTAAAAATATTTTTTCAAGGGTTTAGAGGCGTGGATTTTTTAAAAATATTTTTTCAAGGGTTACATAGAGGCGTGGATTTTTTAAAAATATTTTTTCAAGGGTTACATAGAGGCGTGGATTTTTTAAAAATATTTTTTCTAGGGTTACATAGAGGCGTGGATTTTTTAAAAATATTTTTTTTTTCTAGGGTTACATAGAGGCGTGGATTTTTTAAAAATATTTTTTCTAGGGTTACATAGAGGCGTGGATTTTTTAAAAATATTTTTTCTAGGGTTACATAGAGGCGTGGATTTTTTAAAAATATTTTTTCAAGGGTTCAAAAGTCTTCTAAATTCCTGCCATTGTCATAGAGGACATTAAATAATATTTTTCCACAAATTTTAAAGTAATTTCCATAAAAATCCTTTCCCTCCCCTATCACATACTCCTGGGAACTAACACTAAGGATTACGCATAGCACTCTTAATATCTCAATAAATGTGTGTGCGTCTATGTGTGTGTATTTTTTCCGACAAATCTTCTACTTCTTCTAAATTAAAGCTGGTGCAGCAGCCGCATATATATTGTCATCAGGCTTCTTTCTGGTCCAGTAGACCATGGCAAAACGAAGCGAAACAGAAAAAACACCACAGCTGCGAAGATGATAATATTGTCGGTTGAATGTGAATATGCAGAGCAAAAAAACACAACAACGGAAAATCATTGTAAAGACCAAAATTGCAACCAAGGCCGCCACGAAGTAGTTCGCAGCAAAACGGTTTCCGTTTAGAGCTCGCGCGAAAAAAGAAACACATCCAAAACACCTACCATTAAAAACTCCAACGAAACGGAAACAAAAGAAATAATCCGGATATAAACATTGTCTCTTGTCTTAGCATGCCTCCATGTACCACCGATTGCGATTCACTTATTTTTCAAATTTATGAATGATAGTGGTGGCTGGTGGTGTGAGGTTTGTGTCTTGGGTATTGCGAGTGTTTGTCATTTCCCTAAATGACACCCCACCAAATGCTCGAAGGAACTGCAGGACCAAAAAAAACCATGCATTTACAAATAGGTGTTTTTTTTCAAGTGCGCTTTACACCCTACATGCATCAAGGCGTATTATATTACAAGGCGTATACAGGGTGAGATGAAAAAACTGCAACCAACTTCTGACTGTTGTCATTTCTATGCCACTCGTCCGACAGCTTTTAAAATTATTCCAGTGACAGGTCATTATATTGTTTACTGGCGTACATCGGAATTTTGGTGAGAATTTTCCAGAATTTATGGAATTCAAGCGTGATAGTGTGATTTCTTTATATTTGCCTAGAAAACCCCAAGTGACTATCATTAGATCACTCCAGCATTTAAATGTGAATAAATCGTTTATGTCTCGTACCATCGCTCGTTGCCGTGATTCGGGTAGCGTAGCCCGACGTCAAGGAAGTGGACGGAAGAAAACGGAAGCAATATCATCAGAAATGGTTCGAAAATTATAAAATCGACTTGATCGAAGCCCGCGTCGCAGTGGCCGAAAAATGGCTCGTGAGCTCAACATATCGCAATATTCCACTCGGCAAATATTGAAAAATAAACTCGGGGTAAAGCCCTTGAAATTCCAAAAAGTGCAAGAATTTACACCGCAACAGAAAGAAAATATACTCCAAAGAGCTAAAGAGTTGCTTCGCTTGGCCGACAGTGGAGAACTGCCGAATTTGATTTTCTCCGATGAGAAAACATTCGTTGTCCAGCAAATCGTAAAAAAAAAAATGATCGTGTTTACTTCCCAAAGAGGTCAGCTGAAAATGTGCACCTTCGGTTGGCCACCAGAACTCAAGCGCCGGCCATGGTGATGGTGTGGGCCGCCATAACAGCCGATGATCTCTCTCCACTCGTATTAATCGACCGTGACATTAGAATAAATGACGAATATTATCGCCAAAAAATATTCTGGAGAGTGTATTAAAGCTTGGGCACGAAAACATTTTGGCCACAGACTTTGGACATTCCAACAGGACTCAGCACCATCGAACTCAGCACACGCCACCCAAGAATGGTTACAAAATGTGGTTCCTCGATTCATTTCCAGCGCACAATGATCACCAAAATCTCCGGATACCAATCCGTTGGACTATTGTGTCTGAAGTATTTTGGAAAGAAAGGTTGGCACTAAAACATACCAAAGTGTCGATCACCACAAGCAAACGCTTCGCCGGGAATGTACCAAAATACCGCAGAGTAACATTCAGGCAGCGTGTGACAGTTTCATTAGCCGTTTGAAGGCCATAACTCGTGCCAATTCGAAAAAATATAGACTAATTCCGACATTTTTTGCTTTCATTCAATAAAATTTAGAAAAAAAGTTAAAAATTATGGCGTTTGACTATGTTGCAGATTTTTTATCTCACCCTGTATTATAGCTTTGTGCAGCCCCAAGAGTTTGTAACGTCGCGCAATATGGGTCCTAGACCCACCTCTAAGTATACCGATCGTCATATCTCGACTAGCTGAGTCGATCTAACTATGTGTGTCCCCGTCCGTCCGTATGTCCATTATAATTTGTAAACACGATACAGGCCACAGTTATGGACCCATCTTCACGAAATTGTGCATGTAGGATAGGTTCTGCCCAATGAAGACCCCTATTGTTTTTGGTAAAGATCGGTTTTCTTCTTACTAAATTTTTGTCGGGTTTTCTGGTCGCTCCAAAGGTCGCAATTATAGCCCAAACATTGCAAAATTTTACATGGAGAAGGGGATCATCGATCTAGACATGTGTGTCCGTCCTTCCGTGTGTCCATTATAATTTGGACAGGCCACAGTTATGCACCAATCTTCACGAAATTTTGCATGTAGGATGAGTTATGGCCAATGAAGACCCTATTGTTTTTGGTAAAGATCGGTTAATATTTAGGGGATGAAATGGACCAAATACTAAATTTTTGTCGGGTTTTCTGGTCGCTCGCAAAATTTTACATGGAGAATGGGATCGGGCAAAAGAATGAGCATGCCTGTTCTGATAAAGATCGGTGAACATTTAGCGCGTCAAATGGACCCCGACTTTTGTGTGAAAAATTACAAAATTCTTTGGCGTATATATTTACTCCTAGATCCGAGAGGTTGATTCCAATTCTATTGCCGTACACACTCGGATGTGGGAGTTACACTTAAATATTTGCAGGTGCCACGTATTCAGATATTATTTAGTAATCCATTACCACACTAGAGGGCGGAAATATAGCGGTGATCGCTTTTAAATTTTGCATGAGGTTACAGTTATGGTCAAGGACAACGCCTATAATTTTCGGTGTTGATCAGATTATAATATTGGAATGAAGTGGACCGCAAAACATAATTTTTGTTCGTTTTTTTTTTAGTCTATCTATAGGTCGCAACACAACCCATGGTGCAGGGAATCTGGACAATTAATTAGAAGGGCTGTACTGAATATGAATATTAATATTCGGAAAATATGTCAGTGTAAGGAAGAGGTGCTGTTGACCTCTAATCGGGCTATGTTGAACACATATCACGAAATATTGCTCAGGCTCGGAATAAACATCCGCAAAAAGTTTGAGTTTCGTGGTAGTTGTGTAGGGTATCGTATAGTCGGCCCGTCTGGTTTTAAGTATTTTTTCAAGACCTATACTTAGGAGTGGATTTTTTAAAAATATTTTTTCGAGGCCTAGAATTAGGTCTGGATTTTTTACAAATATTTTACCAAGGGTATCCCCTAATTCGAGACCTACAGTTGCATTCCTATAGGATTTCATATTTTTACTGCTCTTTACACTCAGCTTCCACTACTTGCCTAAGTATGATTTGTTCCTGTTTGTTGCTGTTGTTCTCGATTTTTTTCTTGTTCACTGAATATTCCAACAGAATATACATTTTTAAAATTTCTCTTCCTCTGAGAATTTTCTACTCTTCATTTCAACTATTTTTCTTGTATTTGAAGCTTTCTATTTTGTTCCTTTTTTGCATTGTTAAATGTTCAGTTCCTTTCGAACATTTACATGTGTATGCACTGGACGTTTATTTGAAAATGTTCCTGCTACATCATGAACGGAAGAATGCACACTGCAATAGACAAATGGTTTTCTTCTTTAACGGAAGTGATAGGAATTATTTCGGAATACGAAGAGGGTGGACAGAGCAAGTAACAAATTTTTGTAATTTATTTTTTGGGGGCTGAAATTAAAATAAAAAATATTTCCAAATATTAATGGACCGCAAAATGCTTCAATAGAAGATCTTTAAAGAGTTTTTTGGAATTTTGTAAAAACTATTTTTCAATGACTTTTTAAGCGTAGTCCATAAGCTTGGATTTTTTTAAAAATATTTTCAGGAGCAAGAAAAACAAGAGCGTGAGCATATCGAGATGTACAGGAGTCAGATGCCGATGGGTTACAAAGCGAACTATTCAAGACTGGTGGTCAGATGCTGATCAGGAGCATGCACCAGCTGATTAGTACAATTTGGAATGCATGCCCAATGATTGGAACCTCAGCATCCTGTGTCCCGTGCACAAAAAAGGAGACAAGACGACATGTGCCAACTATAGAGGAATAAGTCTCCTTCCCATCGAATATAAAGTGCTATCCAGAGTACTGAAGGCAATGTCAATGACATTATTGGACCATACCAATGCGGCTTCAGACCTGGCAAATCCTGAAAAAAAAAACCACGAAACCACATCGACACATTCCATTTATTCGTCGACTATAAAGCCGCATTCGACAGCCCTATCTGTTCAGAGGTGTTTAAAGCCATGTCTACGTTTGGCATTCCTTCCAAAAATAAAACGGCTATGCAGGATAACTTTAAGTGGCACAAAATCAGCAGTTAAAGTTGGAAAGGAACTCTCGGAGCCCTTTAATACCGAACAAGGATTCAGACAAGGTGACAGTTTATCGTGTGATCTTTTTAACATTCTACTGGAAAAGGTCATACGAGACGCAAAGGTGAACCGAAAATTGCACTCTGTACACCAAACAACACATGTTACTTGCCTACGCCGATGACATCGATATAACGGGTCGAACATTGACAGCAGTAACATCCACCTTTGAGCAAATTCAGAAGGAGTCTGCCAAATTGGGAGAAGACCATGTTGAGGGTATCAACGCACAAGACGTCCAGTTGACTCGGACTAACTGTGGAACTTGAGAACAACAGCTTCGAGGTAGTCAAAGGTTGTATATACCTTGGTACCGCTATAAATAAAACGAATGACATCAGTTTTGAAATTCGGAGAAGGATTGTGATGGCCAAAAGATGCTACTATGGTCTGAGTAAGAAACTCAAAAGCAAGACCACCTCCCGCCAGACGAAACTCACACTCCACAAGACGCTGATACTACCCGTGCTTTTATATGGATCTGAAGCATGGGTACTTGCGCAAGCAGATGAGCTCTTGGAATGTTTGAGAGAAAAATTCCCCCAAAAGATCTATTGGTCGATCTGAGTTGACGGCCAAGGCCACCTCCCGCCAGTCCAAACTCACACTCTACAAGAAGCTGATACTACTCGTGCTTTTATATGGATCTGAAGCATGGTGGGTACTTGCGCAAGCAGATGAGACAGCTCTTGGGGTGGTTGAGAGAAAAATTCTTCGAAAGATCTATGGCCGATCTGCGTTGACGGTGAATATCGCCGAAAGATCTATGGGCCGATCTGCATTGACGGTGAATATCGCCGTCGAATGAACCATGAGTTGTACCAGCTATTCTCGGACATCGACATTGTTAGACGTATTGAGCTGCAGCGACTTCGTTGGCTAGGTCATGTTGTGAGAATGGATGAAGATGCCTTAGCTCAGATGGCATATAAAAGCGAACCAGCTGATGGTTCACGCAGAAGGGGAAGGCCACGAATAAGATGGAAAGATCAAGTCGAAGACAACATCGCCGAATATGCTCTTTCTAATTGGAAAAGCTGCGCAAAAGACAGTCTCGCCCCCAAAAATCTTTTCTAAGCTCGGCGTATGGAACGAAACTTCTGTCACAAGTCACCTAAGTAAGTAATAAGTTTTTTAAGCGTCATCCAAAGGGTGGATTTTTAATCATTTTATTTTAAGTCATCTAAAGGTGTGGATGTGGAATCTACGCCTTATTTGGTCCACGAAAAGGCGTGGATTTTTTAAAAATATTTTTTGAGGTATATTCAAGGCTCCAGACAAGGCGTGGATTTTTTAAAAATATTTTTTGAAATATATTCAAGGCTCCAGACAAGGCGTGGATTTTTTAAAAATATTTTTTGAGGTATATTCAAGGCCCCAGACAAGGCATGGATTTTTTAAAAATATTTTTGAGGTATATTCAAGGCTTCAGACAATGATTTTTTTGAGGTATATTCAAGGCTCCATACAAGGCGTGGATTTTTTTTCAGGTATATTCAAGGCTCCATACAAGGCGTGGATTTTTTTTTTGAGGTATATTCAAGGCTCCATAATTTTTTGAGGTATATTCTAGGCTCCAGAAAATATTTTTTGAGGTATATTCAAGGCTCCAGAAAAGGCGTGGTTTTTTTAAAAATATTTTTGAGGTATATTCAAGGTTCCAGACAAGGCGTAGATTTTTTACAAATATTTTTTGAAGTATATTCAAGGCTCCAGACAAGGCGTGGATTTTTTTAAAATATTTTTGAGGGCTCCAGAAAAGGATTGGATTTTGTTAAAGTTTTTTTTAGGTATATTCAAGGCTAGAGACAAGGCGTAGATTTTTTAAAAATATTTTTTGAGCGATATCCAAAGGCGTAGATTTTTTAAAAATACTTTGGAGGTATATTCAAGGCTCTAGACAAGGCGTGGATTTTTTAAAAATATTTTTTAATGTCTACTAATAAAAATTAATTATACTCACAAGTTCCTTCTGACATCAAT